GAAGGGCGACATTTACAGCTTCGGCATCATCCTGCAAGAGATCGCCCTGCGCAACGGCGTCTTCTACATGGAGGGGCTGGACCTGAGCCCTAAAGGTGAGCAGGGGGGGCCGGGGTGATGGCGTCAGGGACCCGCTCATGGGTGGTTGGACAAGCAGATGGGTGCTTGGACCTGGTGTGATGGGTGCTTGGACCAGCTGATGGGTTCTTGGACCTCCTGATGGGTTCTTGGACCTCCTGATGGGTTCTTGGACCTGCTGATGGGTTCTTGGACCAGCTGACGAGTGCTTGGACCTGCTGATGGGTTCTTGGACCAGCTGACGAGTGCTTGGATCAGCTGATGGGTTGTTGGCCTCGCTGATGGGTGCCTGGACCTGCTGTGATGGGTGCTTGGCCTTGCTGATGGGTGCTTGGACCTGCTGATGGGTGCTTGGCCCCACAGAGATCATCGAGCGGGTGAAGAGTGGGGAGCGCCCCAGCTTCCGCCCCTCGGCCAATGTGGGGTGCCACATGGAGGAGCTGGGCCAGCTGATGCAGCACTGCTGGGCCGAGGACGTCCTGGAGCGCCCCGACTTCAACCAGATCAAGGTCCAACTCCGCAAGTTCAACAGGTACCTCCACCTCCCCCAGCCCCGTGGGTGATGGGTGACCCCGAAAAGGGTCCCCGGGTGGATGCTCACCCCCTGCCCGCAGGGAGAGCAGCAGCAACATCCTGGACAACCTGCTGTCGCGCATGGAGCAGTACGCCAACAACCTGGAGGAGCTGGTGGAGGAGCGAACCCAAGCCTACCTGGAGGAGAAGCGCAAGGCTGAGGCTCTTCTCTACCAGATCCTGCCCCAGTGAGCACCAGGGGGGGCCCCAGCCCTCTGTGCACCCCACCCCCACTGCTGGGCACCCCAGGGCACCACACCAGCATCCCCTGCCTGCCCCGGGCTGGGGTCCCCCATGCATGCCCTGCATGGCTGGGGGTGCTTGGAGGGGCTGGGGACCCCAAGGACCCCCATGTTGCTTGGGACGGGAGGTGTTTGGAGGGGCTGGGGACCCCCTGGGGACCCCAAGGACCCCCACATGGCTTGGGGCCGGGCGTGCTTGGAAGAACTGAGGACCCCCCCCAGACTGCTGCATGGCTTAAGGTGCCTGAAGGGGCCAGGGACCCCAAGGACCCCCCCGCCGTGGTTCAGGGCTGGAGGTGCTTGGAGGGCTGGAGACCCCAAGGACCCCCTGCCATGGCTCTTTGGGGCTTGGGGTACCTAAAGGGGCCAGGGACGACCCCGGACCCCCAGCACAGTTTGGGGGTGGGGGTCCTCGGAGGGACCAGGGACAACCCCAGCCCCCCGTCATGGCTCAGGGCTGGGAGTCCCTCAGAGGGCTGGAGACCCCGAGGACCCCCCGGCACAGCTGGAGGCTGGGGACGCCGGGCCCTGGGGACATGGCACCCACACGGGTCAGCAGGGATGGGGACGTGGCACCCAGCACCCAAATGGGTTGGCAAGGATGGGGACATGGCACCCACACGGGTCAGCAGGGATGGGGACGTGGCACCCAGCACCCAAATGGGTTGGCAAGGATGGGGACATGGCACCCACACGGGTCAGCAGGGATGGGGACGTGGCACCCAGCACCCAAATGGGTTGGCAAGGATGGGGACATGGCACCCACACGGGTCAGCAGGGATGGGGACGTGGCACCCAGCACCCAAATGGGTTGGCAAGGATGGGGACATGGCACCCACACGGGTCAGCAGGGATGGGGACGTGGCACCCAGCACCCAAATGGGTTGGCAAGGATGGGGACATGGCACCCACACGGGTCAGCAGGGATGGGGACGTGGCACCCAGCACCCAAATGGGTTGGCAAGGATGGGGACATGGCACCCACACGGGTCAGCAGGGATGGGGACGTGGCACCCAGCACCCAAATGGGTTGGCAAGGATGGGGACATGGCACCCACACGGGTCAGCAGGGATGGGGACGTGGCACCCAGCACCCAAATGGGTTGGCAAGGATGGGGACATGGCACCCACACGGGTCAGCAGGGATGGGGACGTGGCACCCAGCACCCAAATGGGTTGGCAAGGATGGGGACATGGCACCCACACGGGTCAGCAGGGATGGGGACGTGGCACCCAGCACCCAAATGGGTTGGCAAGGATGGGGACATGGCACCCACACGGGTCAGCAGGGATGGGGACGTGGCACCCAGCACCCAAATGGGTTAGCAGGGATGGGGACATGGCACCCACACGGGTCAGCAGGGATGGGGACATGGCACCCAGCACCCAAATGGGTTGGCAAGGATGGGGACATGGCACCCACACGGGTCAGCAGGGATGGGGACGTGGCACCCAGCACGCAAATGGGTTGGCAAGGGTGGGGACATGGCACCCACACGGGTCAGCAGGGACGGGGACATGGCACCCATATGGGTCTGTGGGGACGGGGACATGGCACCCCACGGGTCAGCAGGGATGGGGATGGGGGCATGGCACCCACATGGGTTCATGGGTGGGGGGGACATGGCACCTCCCCGGGTCTGTGGGGTGCGGAGAGATGGCACTCACATGGACCAGCAGGGATGGGGGGACAGGGCACCCAACCCTCCCATGGACCCCAGGGACAGGGGAGGGGACACCCTGGGGACACACAGGGCTGGGAGCCCCCAACGAGGGGGGCCGGGTCAGGACTCGGGGCTGCCGGGGCGGGGGGCTCACCGGGTGTCCCACAGGACCCGTCTGTGCCGGCGTCGTGGGTCTCAAAATGCCCCGGTACTGCCTCTTCGGGGACACGGTGAACACGGCCTCGCGCATGGAGTCCAACGGGGAAGGTGAGGGGCCGGGCTGGGCACCCATGGGTGCTGACGGGGCCATATCTGGGCTGGGCACCCGTGGGTGCTGACGGGGCGGGC